TTCTTGGCATTGTACTACTAGGCTCTGAGACAGCCACTTGGCCAGTCCAGAAAAGTTGTTGTCAGTTGTGTTTAGTTTTCTTCAATTCGAGCCGTATCCCAGAGGAACCCATTTTTTTCGAGCATACTGTGTGAGTGACTGATTGTGAGGATCCTACGACCGAAAACCAACTAAACTAAAACTCTCAAATTCAATTTAATTCAAATCGAAACCCTTCAAAACCGCAAAAAGCCAAAATAAAGCCAAATATCAGGCCACGAAATACATAAGTATCAAAGGTACAACGAGATCTACTGAAATTCGAATGCATGGCATACTCAATACAGGCCAAATGGACCAAAAATATACAAGCCAATAGAAAAAACAAACAAATATGCAATAATATTCAAATGAAAACAAGAGAAAAATCAGAATCTTCTACGCGTACCTCAAGTGAAATGTGACGAACTGTCTTTTTTTTAAGTACGATTATAATTATGTATGTATGTATGTAGTTTTGTCTGCAAAATCAAAATCTTAATCAGAGATTCCATAGACAATTTTCAGTCCATTTCCATACTATGCAAAAAGTTCGAAAAAGTTTTTTCAAAATTCCCAATTCATATCCATATTTGATGAGAAAGTTTTGTGTAATACCATTTTAGGACGTACAGTTTCAACGAAAATCTTTGGGAGGCCAAAACATACATACATATTATATATTTTGTATATTTTACACCCAAAATTCACAACGAAATCAGCCAAAATTTAGCATCAGCTCCATTCCAGCTGAGAAAGAGTATCGGCCCCATGTACTATGTGGCTCCAGTCGATTTCATTTCTCTGTTATAAATAATTGCGGCACTAAGGAGGCAGCTTGGGTGAAGGGCCCAAGTCCAAGCCCAAGTGTAAGCCCAAGCCGTGGCCAAAGAAAAGAAACAAAAACGCCATGAAGCGAAACAAAACCAAACCCATAACCAAAATCAAAAACAAAAATACAGCTAAACGGAAAACAAAACTTTTGGCTCGAGCCCACTTGTAGGCCACTTAAGGCCCGATCTATACACAGAGAAGATAATACCGATACGATACGATACGATACGATACGATACGATACGATCCGATCCGATTGTACATAAGAAACTCATTTCGAAACGGACTGAAACAAAAAGAAAGGCAAATGTAGCAATGATGTTGCAGCTACGAGTATATGTACATATGTATGTGCAATGTACATACATATTAGAGTGTACATACAGATGTACTCGCTTCAGTACTGACGACTGTGATGACTACTCCGATGGGATATTTCGCTAGAATAATAATTGAAACTGAAATTGCTTTTTTGTGTGTTTGTATTTTATTCTTAATGACGTTTGGCGCGTGTTGCCTTTATAAAAAGTCCACTCACACGCAGCAGCCATAAAAATCTTTGGCTCAAACGTAGAAAACCAATTGCTCAAACCAATTTCGGGGACCGAATTCATCTGTCAATTGGCAGTATCTCTACACCATATAGATATTCATAGCCATATGAATATACTCGTATATTGTACATATCTACATTATTATTTATATAACGTTTGTCGGCATTTTCGGTTTGATGCCTGCAATCAGATGTACATATGTTACGAGTATCTGCAATCAGTGAAAGCTAAGAAAAAGCTTAACGCTAAGGGTAAATGCGCGCACGTGCTGGCTAAATACTATTCTGTGCACTACAATAGGTTGTTCTATCTGGAGGGCTCTATGCTTGGACTTGGGCTTGGTCTTGGGCCAGCTACTGGGCTTAGGATACGTAATTACTTAGCATTGCGTGGAAGTTCGTAGAAGTTCGCGGAAGTTCGTGGATGTTCGTGGATGTTCGTGGAAGTTCGTGGAAGTTCGTGGAGCTGATGCTGACGTCAGACTCCGGCCGTTTGTCGTCCGTCGGCGGTAGCAGGTTCTTTATGAATTACGGTTATATTAATAACGAGTATGGCCAGGTTCTTTGTGATTTATGCTTTCGGTTTGTGGATTGTTTATTCACACGCTGCTTAAAACCCCACAAAACGACTGCTATCGGCGTAAACTACGCCGCAATCCGACACAATGTGCTATGGCCAATAATTCAGTCGCGTGTAGCGGGCTTTGAGAACCGAGCTTACAATTTAGCTTTCCCGTTAAGGAGGAAGCGTAACAGATACTGACTCGCTCGATCGCTGTTCGAGAAGCGGTTGAGTAACCCCTCTGCCGAGGGTGTTCACGGTTATGTGAAAGTCGGAGCCCAGCCGCAGTTCATGCTTATGTAACAAGCACTCTGATATTTTAGAGGCTTTGACATATGTGCATATGTGTGTGCAATAGGTACATAACTGATAAGTAGGAACGCATCTAACGGCAATGATTCATAGGGTGACAGAAAGAGAACAGGTCAGAATTTACTCAATTCCACAAACTTTTAGACAATTTCGGGATAACAATCCGTGGAAATGGCGCCCGGAAATGCATTGTCTATTGTAATCTCTGGTCCGGTGGGCATGGCCTGCATTTTCTTCTTAAAAAATGCATCCAACAACATCCCATGGCTGTAGACCTCATCGCCAGGCTTATTATATTTGAAGCAATTGTAGATGATCAGCATAAAGTCGGACATCGCATCGCCGACATGGTGGTAGAAGTTGTTCTCCACTCTATTTATGATGGTGCCGATGTCCATGGGCTTCATGACGACCTCGTAGTATTTTGGCACACCAAGAACCACCGTGTCCACCGGTCGCATAAACTCCGCGCAGAAATCCAGCTTGCACGCCTCGTCAAGTACCGATTTCTTAAAGAAGTCCAACTTATTTGTGTACTTGCCCAAGTTCATGGGCTCTGGCCCTACCTCGGGCTGCACACAAGTCGGCGGAGGATTCTCCTTGCCCGTCGGAGGCTGAAGCTGAACATAACGGAGTGGATTCAGCAGAATAAAACAGTATGGATCATGAAGTCTTCGTCTTACCATCTGCCTCGTCTTGACTGGCGAGCGTGTGGAGGCCACGGAAGGGGCCGGGACCGACATCGTGGATCTCAGCATCTTGCGATCATCGTCGTACGGATACTCGACTCCCTTGGGTATGGCCTTCAATTGCTTCATGAAATAGTCTTCCAACAACTGGCCACGCTCAAAGATTACACTTCCAGATCGATTGTACATGAAGCAGTTATGAATAATCAGCATAAAGTCAGACACCACCTCTCCCACGTGATGGTAGAATTTATTGTTCAATCGCTTGATGATGGTCCCTATGTCCATGGGCTGACCAACGATAGCGTAGTATTCTGGTGCCCCAAGTAGTTCCGAGTCTACAGGCTTCAAAAAATCTTTAGCGAAGGTCTTCCCGCACAATTCAATAAGAACATTTGTGCTCATGAAATGCATCTTGTTTGTGTATTGGCCGAAATTCGAAGGTTGAGGATGCACCTCTGGCTGCACATATGTCTCCATCTGTAGCTTGACCTTACAATCACATAAGTCCTGGGCAAGAGCCTGTAGATGGGGACGGAGACGGGGACATTGTTGAATGAAGCAGCACACAGTCTAAAATAGTCTTAACATTACCATCGTCCTAGTCTTGTTTAGTATTGAGTACTAATTAGCTACTTAGCGACTACTTAGTTCTCACTGACAGTTGAATCCTGTGTGGCTCCACTGGATATTTCCAGAACTGATTTCAATATTGACAAGATTTTTTTACAGCGAAGCTTTTCCACCACTGCCTTTAGGAAATGCACAACTGTTACACTGCTCGGTGTTAGCTAATTAATTTACAAATTGATTTTGTTAAAAATGCAAATTGCTTACACAAGCATCCAAGAACGTTTTCATTGTGGATTCCAGCGCAGTTAACTATCCATGTCACCGCTTACGTTAACCAACACTGGTAACCACTCAGTTGACGTTTATCAACACTGAGTGGAAAATAAAAACAGTCCGAGTTTTTCAAAGCGAACTAAGTTAATCACTAGCCAAGTCACAGTCAGTATTATCTGTCCATTTGCGCATCTTCTACCTCGGTTTCTCGCTCTTCTTGATTGGGGCTTTTCGATGCTATGCATAAATGAATATTAATTTTCGGGTATTGGTATTGTAAAAAGAAACTCCGCGGCGATGGTCATCGGCGACATGATCATATTCGTACATACATAAGTCATAAATGTTGTAGCATATTTATGCTGAATTCTTTTTTATTCTTTTTTAATATTCATTTTATTATAATCATTATGGGAATCTCCGATGCCAATGTCTGACCATACAAAATTTTACCCAATTTTGTTTTTTTGTTTTTTTGTTGCTGTGTTTGTTGTGCTGGACACGAGGTTTCTCTTGGGTGTTGTGTGTTGTCGCTTCAGTTGAGGGGCCCGGATAATGGTCGGGTGCTGCCTAATTTTCAATTAATTGGATATGAACTTGAACTACAGTGGGGGTTTGTGAGTATGGGAGCGGGTGTGGGTATGGGTATCCCGGAGGCTATTAAGAATATGGCAATTAGACAATAGCAAAGCTTGTAGCCAATGGGAACCGATGGGAACATAATCCCAGGCAAACACACACGGCAAGCCTCTGAATCTCATTCGGACAAAGCAAACAGATAGATATTCGTTTGTTGCCAAATATAGAAGTACTCGTCTGTGTATTGTATACGTCAGCGTCAGCCCCGTCAGAGTTCGGTCGGTCCGTCGTCACTTTCGACAGTCCCATCCATTTGTCTACGACAATTATGGCCGACAATTATGGACTGGGGCTGGGCAATTTCGCAAACGAAACCCTTTCTGCTGTTGCTTGCTCGTATTATTATTATCATTATCATTATTATTATTGGTATTGTTATTACCGCTGTGAAGCTTACAAACATACATATGTACACGAATATATACGCATAACATATATGTATAACGTACCGATCGTTTTCCCCCTCAGTTCACGATCTCTCAGATCTGCAAATATGTTTATAATCATGTAATTGCCTAACTCTTTCCTTTTGTTTTTTGTCTTGCAGCACACTCTTCCCTTTGGTTAATTGATTAACCAGGTCCCCCCGAACAGAGCACACTCGAAAAAGGGAACGGAGAACATAGAAATCCAGCAAGATGACTGGTTTTACCAACGGCGGATTCGAGAACGATGAGCCCGTCAAGGTGAGTCTTTCGGATTGCTTTCTGGTCGGCCTGGTCCCAGTAAATCTTAATGAGTTCTGAGCTCTGAGTTCTTCCTTGAATGCCAGCTGTTCTTTGTTATTGGTGAACGTCAATGTTAACGTACGCAATATGAAATCACCGGCTCCCTCAAAGACTTTAACTCGAAGAAAGATCAAACAAATCGCAAACTTTAATTCAAACTGATTGCTTTGTTGGCTGCATTTAAATTGTAATTCCCACCATTCGGTGTTCATTTACATTTCGAAGGATAGCCAGCCGCTACCGAACTGTTTCTTACTCGGTGTTATTATAACAAAGCTACATTTATAAACGGTAAATTGGGTTCTTAGACCCAAGACCTGTTAGCATAAGGAAATTCTGTCTTCAAATTTGTATTCAAATATCCACAGTAGTTGTCCAGTTTTCTAAGACCAATTAACGATATATGGTTTTATATTTCAGTGGGTTCGAGGCACATTTGTAATAACACCATAAAATTATATCGTCCAAAAATCATCGGGAATTCTCCAGTTCGCATAGAACGTGGGCCATGGGCAACATTTTAGAGCCATTGAATATACCATAAAACGCTGCCATTTTTAAATTGTTGTCACATTCTCACATATTCGTTGTATTTTTTTTCCTTTGCCATTCGCTCATGCGTGGATAACTCCAGGCCGCTCTGATGTTGATTTTAGTCTACATATGTAATCGTGTAGCATGTGGCTTATGCTATCCGGCATATAAGTATGTACATACATACATACATATGTACATATGTAGATGCGGTGGTGCTTATGAGCTGGATTACACTTATCGAGTGTCTGTCTGGGTCGTATGCTTTGTGTTGTGTTGTGTCGCATTGTATTGTATTGGGCAGTGTTGTATGGGGCAGTGTTAATGACTCTGTTTGCCTTCGCCAAAGAAATCATGTTTTATAATGAAACGCGTCGGATTATTCATTATGGCCCAGATGAGAAGGAAGTAAGACTATCGTATCCAAAAAGCCGGGCCGGGCTGAGGCGAGCCGCAGATGGAGATGGAGATGGAGATGGAGGTGGAGATGATGCTCGAGATGCTAATGATCATTGGCATGTTGGCCAGTTCGACAGCTGGACAGCTGGACAGTCAACCACTCCTTGGATTTTAATGAGGCGAAATAAATTTCACCTCAAGAAACCGAAAACCGAAAACCAAAAGCCTAAATCTGAAAACCGAACCAGCGCAAGAAGCAGAAAAGAAATGTGACAGCAGAAAGAGCTTAACACGCTCTCACACAGGCACACCTGTATATACATACATACATACACATACATATGTATGTATGCACGTTTACATATGGATGCTCTTGTGTTCGTGTCTGAATAGGGCTGCCAACTCATCCGTGCGAGTGCTGCCAACTAATTCCTAAGACATTTGGCAATCGACGGCTCGAAAAAAAACTAAATCCATTTGCACAAAACCGATTGCACAATTAAGCCACTGACAAGGTTTCATAATAAAATATTGCCAATTTACAATGATCCGAGACCACGCCACGCACCTCCCTGCACCAGCCCAAACTACACCACACTACACCACACCACACCACACCACACAACACCACATAACCCCTATCCACCCTCACCCCACCTCCACTCATACTGTAGTAATCAGTTCTAAAAAACAAAAACCCGTTTTCCTCGTTGTGGTCAAGACACAGAACGACTGCTGCGGTTGTGGTTGTGATTGTGGTTGTTACTGTCGGAGAACGTCCAGCAGAGAGCGAATTTATGTAAAAAAAAAACCCACAGCAAGAGGCATGTAAAGACTTGCTGGGAGTGGCATAAGGACAGTCCCATGGGAAGGGGCAGGGGCAGGGAAAGTGACAGAGGCAGCACGAAACGTGCCGCTTTTCAAAATAAAACGAAATCTCGTGCTCCAAACGCGCGTGCGCAGCATGTTGCACACAGTAGGTCGCTGGCAACATGCTGCCGATCGCCAGTGTAGACCGCCTCTAGGCGCACTGACTCTTACACACACACACACACAAACACAGCCACCCACAGTAACCACCAGTCACCTGGCAGCCAGTTGTAACTGGTTTGCAGCAGTTTTTGTTTGCTTGTCCCAACTAGAGACGCGCGCCGTTGACGCCGTTGACGCCGTTGACGCCGCTGCCGCTGCCAACGCCACGGCACAGCCGCCACTCTCGATAATCATTATGGATCCTCATCTTATTATTTCGCACCGGGCACTCGTGCTGCTGCTGCTTTGCGCTGCTTCGGGCCTTACCAGCTGTTGGCGATTAAAGCCTCGTTCAACACACATGCACACAGAGCCAGAGACAGACAGAGACAGATCGGTTTTCCCAGCAAGCTTTATGCTATGTCATGATATGCTAAAGAAGGTTGCCGCCTAACGGGTCAGCAAGCAATGCGCCAGCTGATTTAGACCATCTCACTTGTAGTTCCACAGTATGATTCTACGCTTTCTCTGCCACTGCGCCCCCTCCAGATCGACTACAAATCCGAACTAAGGCATTTCAGCTGCTTCACCTTTGCCCTTGCCCTTTCCAGTTTCGTTCCATTACGTTCCCGTCCAGTTTTATTTTTTCTATTCGATTCCTTTCTCTGAAAATCAAGCAAATATTTCAGTACCACTTGGTACCATTTGGGGGCACATGTCGGATGAGTAATAGTCGTATTTACGATTCTGGGGCGCGTTGCACGTGGCTCCACGGGGCACTTGGTTGAACGGTTTCTGTTCTGGTGTTTTTCCGATACGAGTACATTCCATTCACATTTTACGAGTAAATGCAACAAGAACCAGATCTACACACAATACTTTTGCGAGTTCCAGGTACAATTCTTAATTTTTATTTGTGTTTGCTGACGTTGTTGCGACGAGTGTTACGTATTTAATATTAATGCTGTTAATGGATCCGTTTTCTTTGGTTTCCCCCTTGCTCCCATCTCTTTTCGTACCCCTTATTTTGCTTTAAATCCTTTCAATGCGATTGTATGACGCTAAAATGTTTTGGAGACTTTTATTAGTTCGACGAAATACTGGCTGCAATTTGCCTACAAACAAAACGGGCATTCCAGACCCGACTCCTAACACACCAGCCTGCAGCCCATACCGCATCGTGTGACCAGCCACTACTATTACGAGTATGTGCTATAATTAAAACTATATTGTTAGGAAAAAAATAAAACTAAATCGAGTGAAACAAAGCAGTAATCGATTACGTCTTGCATAACGACGCGTGTGGCGATCGGCGTGTGGTTAGCCACCACCACCCACTCGGATTTTATGAACTTCCACTGCTCACTCCGCACTGCCCACTGCCACCACTGCCTTACCATCTTCCCATATCCTACCGCACTGCTCAATCACACTCGGTCTTGGTCGACCGATGTAACCTTCTGGCCATGTGCGGCGCATGTAAATTCGGCACCTCGCTCGATGGGCCGATGTGGGTTTCCTTTCGGCCAGTTCTCGGATCGATTTGGATTGTATCGTGTGCGTTCGGTGGGTTTTTGGGGCCTGGGGAGCATTTTTATGGCCATTTAAAGGCCGCATCACGCATGCGCCATGCAAAAGCGCCCGCGAAACGCGAGCAAAACGCGTGCGGCTGTTCAAATTGGTTTTGTCTCTTGATTTTTAGAAACTAAAAGCGTAAAATGCGCCAAGACATAAATAATTAATTAATGTGTATGTTGTGTGCAGTCTGTAGAGTGGAGACGCGACGAGAAAATGAAAGCTATCGAAGAGAGTTGCCGAATTTTGGATACTCTTACTTTATAAATATTAAAATGTGCAATTTTTCGCATGACAAATGTTCCAGTAGATCTTCATTCAAATCAAATTTCTAACATATCGAAGCGATTTCCATAAGAATAAGGGAAAGAATAATAATGGATATACATACATACATAGTACTACTACTATGATAGTAGTCCTCTGATTTTGATGGAAAGAAATTTGTTGAATGGCTATAAGCCATTTTTTTTAGGTATCGGGGAGCCATACTCGTAATAAGAAAGTTATCTCAACGAGCATCGTGGAAGCGAGGAGATAAGAAAGAAAGTAGGATCAGTGGCAAGACCATTTGCCTCATCCCCTCCCGCTTATTACACTCTTTTCTCCACCTCCTTACCATGGATGCCGTGGACCCAAGCCCACCGAAACAGAAACTGAAACTGACGATCATCCATAAATGCTGATCTTTTTCTCTGCACTTTTTTTTGTTTATTTTTAGCCGAAAGCTGGTTTTGAGCCCGACACCGCCTCGTTACGAGAGAAAGTTGTGCTGAATCCGGCCGAGAAATGGCGCATCTTAAAGAATATCTCGATCATCTCGATCGCCTTCATGGTGCAGTTCACCGCGTTTCAGGTGAGTTCCCTTTCCTACTATTTCCCAACTATCCCGTGTATCTATTCCCACTGACCAGGGTCTTTTCCGTTTGGCTTTTTGTTATCTCTAGGGAACAGCCAATCTGCAGTCCTCGATCAACTCAAAGGATGGCCTGGGAACAGTCTCGCTGAGCGCGATCTACGCGGCCTTGGTGGTGTCGTGTATTTTCCTGCCCACCCTGATCATCCGCAAGCTGACGGTCAAATGGACTCTGGTCTTTAGCATGCTCTGCTATGCGCCCTACATTGCTTTCCAGCTCTTCCCGCGCTTCTACACCCTCGTCCCCGCCGGCATACTGGTTGGTATGGGTGCAGCGCCCATGTGGGCGTCCAAGGCTACCTATCTGACGCAGGTGGGACAAGTGTATGCCAAGATCACGGAACAGGCGGTCGACGCGATCATTGTGCGGTTCTTTGGCTTCTTCTTCCTGGCCTGGCAATCCGCTGAGCTCTGGGGCAATCTTATCTCCAGCTTGGGTAAGCATCCATCACACAAACACCCAACTCACGATCCTCTCTAACGTTTCCTTCGCACAGTCCTTTCCAGTGGTGCCCATGGATCCAGCAGCAGCTCTAACTCCACGATCAGCGAGGAGGATCTGCAGTACTGCGGCGCCAACTTCTGCACCACCGGCACTGGGGGACATGGCAACCTGGAGCGTCCGCCAGAGGATGAGATCTTCGAGATCTCGATGATCTATTTATCGTGCATCGTGGCCGCCGTCTGCATCATTGCCTTCTTCCTTGATCCACTCAAGCGCTACGGAGAAAAGCGCAAGGGCTCAAACTCCGCCGCCGAGCTCTCGGGCGTCCAATTGCTCTCGGCCACTTTCCGTCAGATGAAAAAGCCGAATCTGCAGCTGCTCATCCCCATCACCATCTTCATCGGCATGGAGCAGGCATTCATCGGTGCCGACTTCACCCAGGCCTACGTGGCCTGTGCCTTGGGCGTCAACAAGATCGGCTTCGTCATGATCTGCTTCGGCGTTGTCAACGCCCTATGCTCCATACTGTTCGGTTCTGTCATGAAATACATTGGCCGGACGCCCATCATTGTCCTTGGAGCCGTGGTGCACTTTACCCTCATTACGGTTGAGCTCTTCTGGCGGCCCAATCCCGACAATCCCATCATCTTTTACGCCATGTCCGGCCTATGGGGCGTCGGCGACGCCGTCTGGCAGACCCAGATCAACGGCCTCTACGGGCTGCTGTTTCGCCGCAACAAAGAGGCGGCGTTCTCCAACTACCGGCTGTGGGAGTCGGCTGGTTTTGTGATCGCCTACGCCTATGCCACAACGCTGTGCACCCGCATGAAGCTCTACATCCTGCTGGCGGTGCTCACGCTGGGGTGCATCGGCTACGTCATCGTCGAGATACTCTACAGGAAGAAGGTGAGTGTCCCTCAGCCTCTCAGCCCGAATGTAGGCAATCAATTGATAACACCGTCCCCTTTCACCCCTTTTAGCAACGCAAGGTCAAGAAGCAGGAGAAGCTGGAGGCTGCCGAGAAGGAGAAGGAGGCCGCTGCTGCGGCTGCCGCAGCCATTGCTGCTGCCGAGGCCAATGCGATCGACGGCGTCGAGGAGACCGACGACGAGCTGGATGATCTCGAAGAAGACATTGTAGTCACTCGCCTGTAATCGGTGAAGACGGTGCCGATAGCTGTTAAGTGTTCGATCGATCGATCAATCGATCAATCGAATGATCGAAGGGAAGCGTTGTATAGCCCCCGGCGTACTTAGTGCATTGACCCCTCCCCCCCACCACACCATACCATACACCATCCCACACATCGATTGTCACGCACCATCCCTACCACCCTCTCCACTTCTCCACAGCCCCTCCTCCAGAGAAAACCATTTAGCTCAAAGACCATCCATACCGAGACGCACACACATGCCCCTCGATATGCATGCACTCGCATGTGTGTGTGTGCTTGGCTAACTTTAATTTGTACATAAAAAGAGAGAACCGAGAGAGGGAGAGACAGTGAGAGGAGAAAGATAGGCAAGAACAATGAGAGAATGAAAGCAGAATATGCAGAATATATTTGCATTTGATGTGTGCAAGTGTACGCACGCTCCCACTCACACATCACGAACATATATGTATACACACACACACACACACACACACACAAGCGTGCATATGTGTGTGCGGGCCCCTTTAAGCCTAAAAAATTGTTATTTTATTTTAAATCGTATTTTAACTATAATCCCTACCATAAATCACTTTTTCTTTGTAAATTGATTTTTTTTTGGTTGCCGCTGACAGAACAGAAAGAAAAACGTGATATTTCGCAACACACACTTCCAGACTACCACTCACACACAAACACACACGTACAGTCACAACAAAAACTATGCGATCCCATAGTCAAATTGTTGTAAACCTTAACTGGATCTATAATTGATAAATATACGATAACAAGACGAAGCAGTGCAAAGCAAACCGTAATTAAATAATTATTATATCTATAAAGAAAGCAAAAAATCCAGCAAGCAGAATGATATATACACGATTTTTGCTCAGTATTATGTTTTAAACTAAATCTAAGTGAGTTATTGTTTCCTGTTTTACCTTTTTCGTGAACGTAATCATCATTATGACACTCTGGTGGTTTCCGTTTGAGCAAACCCATTCCATTTCGAGTTGGGGCCTCCTGCAGACCAAGGTCTTGCAAAGGAACGCTAACACTCAATCAAGGATCAATCCCCTTACAGAGAAATCAAATCATATTCAAATATGAGCGATCACACACGCATATGAAAATACATACATACATATATACTTTTTCGTTTATTGAAACGTTTCAACTATATATTAGTGCAAAAATTTACACACACAAAAACATTGTTTACAACAAATTAAAAAAAAAAAATTATACTAAATATTTTCTTTTTTTTTTGCCTAGATTGTTAAGTAGTTCATTATATTATGTAAAATATATAAAATAAATAAATGAATATGAAACTAATGGTTGAGAAAAACCTCATTGTCGTCGTGATCTACCAATTTGGGCGGGGCCACGGGCTTCGGCGTAAATAAGTCACGCTTTGAACCAGAAAAAGGCAATCCACCTTATCTGGATCCACGTAAGCGGTTGCTGAATAACTGCTAAAGATAACATTAGTTTCCACCTAATTCGAAAGAAATATTTACGTAAGATGTGGGCTAACTTAGAGACTAAAGCCCCCTTAGGGTGCGACTTTTTCGAGCTGTTTCCTAGAGAACAATTGCATCGTCTTCCTGGAACTGCTTGTTCTTTCGCCGGCGGTTTGACTTGATCTTGCTGAGCACGTTATAGGCCTGCTGGATCTCGATGAAGCGCTGGTGGGCCTCGTTGCGCAGCGCCTCGTCCTTGACCTTATCAGGGTGATACTCCTTGGACAACCTGCGGTAAGCCGCCGTGATCTCGGCCTGCGACGCAGTGGCACTAACGCCCAGCACTTTGTAGGAGTTCCGCTCGCCGTCCACATCCATGCTCTCAAATACCTCCTTCCAGGTCTCGTACCAGCCGTGATGCTGTGCGTAGATGTAGGTGTCGTGCAGGGCCTGCTTGAGGTCCGTCCACCAGGCGGAGGCGAGAAAGTTGTGAAGGGCCTCGTGTATTGGCACCTCGCCGCCATCCTCGTCCGCAATGGTTCCGTTGAAGTAGACGAAGCTGCCCCAAAAGGTGCAGTAGATCAAAATGGCTCCCGTCAGCTTCAGGGATCGCTCCACTGGTCGTCCCCGACGTGGTGGAGTTCGGCGCCATTGCTTTGAGATGCCGTCAAAGGTGAGGGCGGACACCAGTCCCGTCAGCAGCAGTGAGTATGTCTCGTCGTAGATGAAGTACCGCGCTGGGTAAGCCAAATAAGCGGCCAGGAGACAGTGCCACCAAACGCCCTGCTCGCGGCCAATGTTCCCAACCAGCCAGATTCCCTGGGACACGAAGATGGGAATGGCCCAGTGCAGGAAGGATAGGTCGAAACCAGCTACAACTGTCTGCGGTATGGCCATCGCGAACAGCTGACCAAATAAATGACCGATCATCACCTGGCCCACGAAGCGCTTGGAGGAGTACGGAGGCCGCTGAAAGGCCTGCAGCTTGGCCACGAACGCCTTGACGAATCGCGGGTCTTCGTTGGCATCCCGCACGTACTCGGGTATCAGGAAGAGTTCACCAATCCAGCCAATGCCCATGTAGCCGCCCAGCGTGCATGCCCAAATAAAGGCGTGACGATCGCGGTGCAAGTAGAGATGATGCAGACCGAAGATACCGCCAAACAGCCAGAGAACGTAAGCGACTACCACTGACTTCTGGGCAGGCAGGGTGTTGACCTCCGTGGAAGATTCGCGGTTCGTCGACATGCGTCTATTTGGCTTGCTCTTGATGAGCGATTTGTCTGTGGGCGAGGGCGGGGGACTGTCGCTGGTGGTCGATTTGGCCTTTGCCTTTACAGTGCCACCGAACTTCGGCGACACAGTCTGCTTGGTTCCCATCTTCGGATGTGCACTCGGAGTACTAGAAGGAATAATCACTTTATTTGAATACGAGTTTAGTTCGAATGCAAGCAAAACTTTGGTAAACTGACCCAATTTCTTCGTGAAGAGTGTCGTTGCGCACGCGCAGTTGAATGTGACTGTTCCAGCGGCGGGAGTGGAGCGGGAAGCAGCAGCAGCAATCGGCGCCCAACTTTCTCTTTTCACAAATTCTGCGCACGCAGCCAGCGCAGCAAGAACAGGCAGAAGAGCTGGAGGAAACAGTTAGGGAACCGCACTGATGCGTTAAATTTCTATTAGTTCTTTACGCCTTTTATCCACGCTGCGAATTTAACTTTGACACAACAAAAATACAGACAATAAGTGCACGAACAGTTTGTTAAGCCAGAACCACTCTGTTGTTCTGCTAACTGTTTTTTATGGAAATCTCACTCTACTATTTACAGCGCAGCGACGGAGCGGAGGGTTTTAAAATTGAAGTAGCAGCGCAAATCGGCTAAGGCGTATGCAGAAAAGCCCTAAAGCGTAGACTAAAATCCCAAAAAGTGTGAAGTCAGCCAGGGCTGCATACGCACAATTGGGAAACATAAAACTCTTGTTCCGTTCCGTTACCTATTTTTGACCATTCTGATAAAAATGTATATTACACTTTCTTATTGATTCAATTCAGTTTTATTTTTTTTTTCAAAACGCTTACAATGCTTACACGTATAATGTATTTTAATGAAATTTGACACGTGATTTGCTTTTAAAAGTCTATAAATTAGCTTTAACTTACAATTTAAATCGAAAATTAAATTTGAGCAAAAACACTCTTCAAAAGGTCTTAGAAACTACGGTTTTCTTTTTTTGAGAATTTGTTATTTTGCTTGATGCATTTGCTTGGTAATACTTTGCTTGGGTTAATAAATAGTTGAAAAAAAACCTCTAGTCCTAAGGTTCCTTCCTGGACCTGGCCGGGAAATCTTCACGAATAGATTGATAAGAGTAGTTGATGTTCCTGCCGGTGGACGTGGATGTGAACCTGCACCTCCGGTCCTCTAGTTGTTCTTTTTCTTGGGCTTCTTGGGATTCCGTGAGCGCGACTTGGCCTTGCAGAGCGGGCAGATGGGGGCATTTCGATGGATTTGCTGATGGCACGACAGGCACGACTTCATCGGTGGCGGCTGCTGGCGGAGGTTCACGTTGAAGTCCGAACGGAACGACGGATGGTGGCCGATTCCAATCGACGGTGTTTGCTGAAGACGATTTGTTGGCGGAGGTGGAGGCGGCGGGGCCGAGAAATCACCTTTTCCTAGACGCACAGCGGCCGCGGCGGCAGCTGCGGCAGCCCCAGCGCTGCCTGCTCCAGGCGGGGCCGGTGGCATAAAAGCGTGTCCTGGTCCACCACCACCGCCGCCGGCGCTGACTGAGCTGCTGCCGCCGCCACCAGACGATGAACTGGGGGGCAAGGCGGTAACCGTGGCCTCGGGCATCAAGGGATGACGAGCGTGTGGGCGAGCCAGGGACGTTGGCTGCGTGACCGAGGCTGCTGCTGCGGCTGCAGCGGCAGCCGCTGACTGGGCGGCCACCTTGAGGAAGTTTGTCTGAAAACGATCCTTCGATATGGGACTACCCTCCTCCTCGTGCAGGTCGCGCAGCGGACTTAGGCCGAGATAGTCCCGTCGCATGTGATCGATTTGGTACTTGAGTGCCAAGTACTCCTCGTATACGCGATTGGCCATGTCGAAGGAGCGCGTCTGGTTCTCCTTTGTCTGCTTGATGATGTTCTCCATATCGTTGATGTCCGCGTGGATCTGGCGCAGTTCCTCTACGTGGGACATTTTCTCCTCGAGCAGGTGCTCCATTTCCTTGCGGTACTCTTCCAAACACTTCTCCTCGTCGTCGCTCAGCTTTACCTCCTTGATGATGCGCACCTTAAGTTTCTCGAGGGCCAGCGTCTTGTCCCGTATGTCCTTGATGGCTTCTAGCTTGGCATAGTAGTGTCGCTCGTTGGAGCTGGATATCTCGCTGGTGGCCATTTTGTGTCCGTGTGGGCCTTGTGTCTGCCGTGGCTTCCCCTTTCACTGAGCTGTTTGCTTTTATCTCGACACGCTGAGATTGGGATTTTCGATGCAGATGCTGGCATCCACGTCAGCTGGTGTCACTTGGGCACAATTTCAATGCATAAACTTTTTAATTGAATTTTATATTTAAATCTCAAATATTTGGTTTTTTCACTGCTTTCTGTATATGTATATATCGATGTTCACGTCGATGTCATCGATGTTTGGATGAACATTGCGACATCGATGTTTTTTCTAAAACATCGATGTTTTTTAGACTTTTTGTTTAGACGTTTGACCAATTACCAAATTTTTCCGAGCCAAATGAGGTGCGGCTAAGAAAAAATATTTATAAAGAAGGCACATACCAAATTACTCTGGTATAAGTGTGAAATGTATGTTAATGCATCAATAATTCAACTATTTTTTTCCTTTTGCAATTAAGATTCGTTTTGTTGTATTAAAAGCCGTTTACTTTTCATTTCATCGAAGAAATTGTTGTTGTTTTAAAAACGAAGAAGTCTTGCGGATTGTGAAAACGGGAAATCGAAAAACTTTTGCGAAATTGAAAACCGGAGCCTGGCTGAATAATTAATAAATTTCATTTTTTGATCCGCCGGGCAGTCTTTGGCCGTCATGGCGACAGGAGGCTGATACACAGTCCTTGTTCACTGGGGCCGCTGATGCCACACCCTCCGCGC